GCTTGCCAATCGTCTTCTGTGAGATCTTCGAAAAGAAGTAGCACATGCGGGTGATGGCCATTTTCAAGAACTCTGGCTTTATAGCCCTGATTGCAATAGGTAAAAACACTGTCAGCATCACATGACAATTGTGAGCCTTGCAGTATGTTATTGACAAGTCCTTCATCAACACTAGCTTCTTCACATTCGCTGAAAACCCAGTCGGGACTTTGACCCCCCTCAGGAAAGTGCATATAGCTCTCTTCTCGTCTGGTGTTAGGTTGAAGCACGCCGTAGGTAGAGTATATTTTTCATTAGCCTCAGGTACCGGGTGAAGCTGTGGCATCACGTTTAGCTGCACCATATCTTTCTGTGCTTTTAGACCATCCTTTGACTTGCCTATGTCCATCAAGGTAGCAATGAGACTCTCAAAGATATTCTTCTGCACATGCATAGCATCAATGGCATGGGGGACCTCCAAGTCTGGCCAATAAGGCAGATACTGAAAGAAGATCGATTGTTTCTTAAAAGGTACGCCTTCGACAGGAGGTGTGCTTCTATCTCTGTTCGTCCCATCCGGATTCTTCTTTCCATAGACGACGCGTATGTTTTTCACCATTCTGTACACGTGTTCTCTGTTATGATGTCTCTCCGGAGGGGGTTCAATCTCTAGGGTGTTGTCATAAAATCTAAAGAATAATTTGCTGCGGTACTTGTGACTTATCTTTAAGAAGCGTCGGTTCCTTAGGTAAACTATCTTATTGGATGCATCCAGGTACACCCATGTAGTACCATCCAAGCAAACCAAGCATCCCGTCTTCCCTTTGATCTGTCCAGACAAAGCAAACAGCACGGGATAATCATTGGTAGTAACAAATATTATTGCTCTACATATGAAGTCCTCCTTTCGGAACGCATCGTACATTGGCACCCCATGCCTCCATAGCCTCTCCATTTCTTGCATCAAAGGCTTGAGGAACACGTCTATATCAATGCCTGGTTGTTTAGGGCCAGAAATAAGAATAATGAGGAGAAGGTACTTTCTCTTCTGACACAACAACGTTGGAATGTTGTACATGGTCAAGATCACTGGCCAAGTGTTGTGGTCGCTCATCCTCTCATTGAAGGGATTCATTCCATCGGTGCCCAAGCCAAACCGTACATTCCTTGGGTCATCGCTGAATTCTTTGTGCTTCTCATCGAACCTTTGCCACTGACTACAATCAGCCGGGTGTGCCATCTTATCATCATCCACCTTGCGCTCATCATCCCACCATGTCATGAGTGCGGCTTCTTAAGGGTTTAGGAAGATACGTCTCAAGCAGTCGGTCACTGGCAGGTACCACATTACCAAGGTAGGAATTCTTCTCTGCTTTGCATCATTGCCTAATGGAGTGTCCTCTAGGGGCTGAAATTCTTGTACCACCTTTTTTGTACCCTTCCTATTCCTCTTTTTCCCTGTGGAGGCTTCGTCCCCACCATAAAGGTCATTGTTCTTGTACCGGCTGGCCCCACACCGGGGACATTTATCCTGTGACTTGAACGTTTTGCCACGAAAAAATATACAGTGGTTGGGGTATGCATGGATTTTTTTCAACCCCCATTGTCAATGGACTTATGACCTTCTTCACTTGGTATGTGTTGGCAGGAACTGAGTTTGGTTGTGGCAGCATCCATAGCAGGAGACGTAATAGATCATTAAAACTATAGTCTGACCAGCCGTACTTAGCTTTCAGGATGAGTAGCTCAAGCACAAAATGTAGTAATGTCCAATGTGTCGGACAGCCCTTTTCAACACCATACATAGTCTCCTTCGATGCTTTTGTCACCCTTTCCAAAAATTTTAGACCTTTTGGGCTATTTAGTAAAATCTCTGGTCCAAGGGCTCGAATCATGTCCTCCAAATCATCTTCATTCCCGACACGTGCTCCACCATCATTATTGGCACCACATTCGTCGTTACCATCCCAACCACCAGCATCACCACCATGTTCATTGCCAAACTCGAGATCCATTCGTGCATCGAGCTCTGCTGAATATTGGGACAGGGATTCTAGGGTTTTATCATCGTATTCCTCCTCATCCTCGTCGTTAACAATAACCGTTTCACCATGATGAATCCACACTGTGTAGTCCTTAACAAATCCTCGTATAATCAAATGTGATCTGATGATAGTCACATCTGTCTATGCCATACGATTCTTGCAATCTTTATAGGGACAAATAATTGTATCATTATTCTCTATCAACGTCGTTGCATGCTTCTTTGCGGCTTCAATAAATTTATCCACCTCTTCACAAAAACCTGCCTTGAACCTTAACGAACCATACATCCAAGAGTTCATGTACTCCATCTTTTACAACAACAACAAAACAAACATTAAAGGACTACTTATTCAGATATATATAACAATGAATCAAATTAATAATTACTTGAGAATAACTGTATATACTTCATATATATATGAATATAAATCAAATATAATTACATGAAGCATACAAACGCACCATGGTAGAGGAAAATTAATTAATGTCCCATTTATCCATAAATAATTAAAATACAAATTTGTTGATTATAATAAACAATTTCAAAGACAACAATTAGCAACAATTATATTTTACCTAATATCTTTTATGTAAACCCTAGTCCAATTTCATCAAACACAAATTTATAAAAACAAAATTAATAAAAAAACCAAACCCTAGATCTAGATCTACATGCACATGAAACATCCATAAAACTAACTAATTGTTCACTAAAATCAAGAAACATGGACCAAATAAGGGTATGATCTTGTTCCCCTACCTAATTTACCCTAGTACATTCAAAACTTGGGTCTAATTTGCTTCATAAGTAGCTCAAGCACCATAGAAGAGGGAGAAAAACAAAACTCTAATTACTCACTAACCAACCATTAAAACTTCAAAAAAAGTGTGGAATAGCATTTTCTTACCTTCTACAACCTCCCCACCAAAGAATTTGAGACCAAAACCTTCCCCCTTAGTAGGGCAATTTTTTGGGAGGTGCCCAATGCCTCCCCACCTTTCTTTCACGGGTTGGAGTGAGTGACCCGAGGAGAAAAAAGGTGTTGCAGATTTTTATATGTGGGTTATTTATAGGGGCGGCTGGTGATTGAGCCGCCCCTACAAATGGTAGGTAATTATATGTGGACATTTGTAGGGGCGGTTCAATCACCAGCTGCCCCTACAAATAGAAACACCGGAGGCAGCTGGTGAGTGAGCCGCCCCTACAAATCAGACCCATTTATAGGGGCGGCTCGTATCACCAGCCGCCCCTACTGTTCCATTTGTAGGGGCGGCTGGTCTCTAGGCTCCCGAGCACGCCACTGTAGAGGCGGCTCCATCACCAGCCGCCCCGACAAAAAATTTGCCACATTGCTACAACTATTTTTTACGTAGTGGTTTGCATGTACTATGTACCACCTCTTAATAATAGGAATAATCACTAGAAGAAAAATAAATTAACAGAGATAAATATGGGCAAAACATATTTTGGGAGGCGCTTGCAGCATCCGTCTCTAAACAATGGTCGTTGCGGGCATAGTGCCTGTCTCTGTAAAATAGAGAAAACCACGCAAAAAAAGGTTGTTGTCAAGTCCAATGCCATCGTGCCTGACTGCCTGCTACCGAATCCGCTCCTGAGCTCGGCGTCACAGGCTAGGGTGAGGGAGCCAAGTATTATTGCGGGGAGAGCGAGGAGCCAAGCATGGGCGGATCGGAGAGTTGGGGCATTACAGGAAGGGGGTAGGTAACTTCGGCTCCTGAACCCACTTCTACCTTAGCTATTGAACCCATCGCCATGGAGTTCTCCAATTCCTGAAGCCTCAATGGTGTCTCGACACGGTGGACACCCCCAGGTGATGACTAGCTACCGTTGGATCTAGATCTGCCGGCTTGGGGAAAGTAGGAGAGCGGGACCGAACCAGGGCAAAGGAGAGAGGGAGAAGAGGAGGGAGGGAGCGAAGGCTAGGGCTAAGCGTCTCTCTTGTAGGAGAGAGGTACAACCGAAGAACCTCGTGTGGTACTTAAAAGCTAGGATTTGCTTAGTTGGCCAGTTGTAGGCCTTAGTCTTATTGATATAGGTAAATCTTTTAAGAGGCCCGTCTCTAAAAATATACTCTACTTTTAGATGCAGTCCTCTTATTAATCAGTTGATAGAGGCAGTTAGGACTGTGTCCTAAAATAAATCGACCATCTTTGAAATTGACTAGGTACTTTTGAAGACATAGAAACTTTTAGTCACACCTCTCTAAATAAAATGTGTTGTCTTCTAAAATCGTTGCATAGTAGTGAATAGTCCTATAAAATTTCTCTGCTTCAAATAGCCGGGTAGCTTAACATATGGGTCTTTAGACGAGGTCCATGTGATGATTCGGTTAGTTCATATCGTCGTATACAAATCTTATACTATATCTACAAAGCTGGGAAAATGGACTAGCTGCGAGAAATAAACCAAGTTAGTTTGCACGAGCTAACCGTCCTCCAACCTCCAGCTGCTAGTGCCCTCCCTATCGTTGAAGTTGAAGCTACCGGACGTATAGCTGCCGTGTAGCTGCACGCGCTAAATGTTCTCGTCCTGCCCCCCTGCATTGACCCTATACACATTCTTTATTCCCCAATAACGCGAAATCACCATCGACAGAAATTAAAAAAAAAACGCATCACAAGAACCGAAGTAAACACCGGCCAGAACGACAATGCCTCCGTTCCCTTGCGAACCAATTCGAACTCCCAATGCAAATCACTCCCCTGATTGATTGCATTGGTGGAGGTGGAGGTTTTGCAATAAACAATCATTTGACACCTAACTTGTTCTTCTATAAAAAGCTCAGGGCTACACAGCCTCCAACACCATCCAACAATCACCACACCAGCTCTTCTCCTTCTTATCCTCTCCTTCTTGGTTGTCTTCCACCTCCCAATCAAGCTCTCGCCATCGTCAATCGATCCATACACAGCCAGCAGCCAATTCTCCCAAGGAGCTACTACCGCTTGCGGCGATGGCGATCCCGGTGATTGACTTCTCCAAGCTTGACGGCCCCGAGAGGGCTGAGACCATGGCGGCCATCGCTGCCGGGTTCGAGCACGTCGGGTTCTTCCAGCTGGTGAACACTGGCATCCCCGACAAGCTGCTGGAGCGGGTGAAGAAGGTGTGCAGCGACTGCTACAAGCTGCGGGACGAGGCGTTCAGAGACTCCAACCCCGCGGTGAAGGCGCTCGCCGAGCTCGTGGACAAGGAGAGCGAGGGCGGCCTTCCCGCGAGGAAGATCGAGGGCATGGACTGGGAGGACGTCTTCACCCTCCAGGATGACCTGCCATGGCCTTCCAACCCTCCCGTCTTCAAGTGAGTGATGATGATGCCCATGATTGAGATGATTGAGTCCATTCATGATTCTTGTTTCGGTAGTGCCATGAGCTTAATTTTTTGTGTTTGATGCATTGCAGGGAGACGATGATGGAGTACCGCAAGGAGCTCAAGAAGCTGGCGGAGAAGATGCTGGGCGTGATGGAGGAGCTGCTGGGGCTGGAGGACGGCCACATCAGGAAGGCCTTCACCAACGACGGCGAGTTCGAGCCTTTCTATGGCACCAAGGTCAGCCACTACCCGCCGTGCCCGCGGCCGGACCTCGTCGACGGCCTGCGCGCGCACACCGACGCGGGGGGCCTCATCCTGCTGTTCCAGGACGACCGCTTCGGCGGCCTGCAGGCGCAGCTTCCCGACGGCAGCTGGGTCGACGTCCAGCCCCTCGAGAACGCCATCGTCATCAACACCGGCGACCAGATCGAGGTATGCGCCTATGCGGTGATCATGCATATTCTCTTCCACTATTCTATATTCCCTTACATATAAAACTATATGCCTTGGCCTTGATTCGATTACACTTGATCAGTAGCGAGCAGCTTAATTGTGGAGACTAAGTGTTTTCTATATTAATGATGAAATGTACTGCCTCTGCAAGTTACTTGTGACTAGCGAGGAGGAATTTAATTGCTTATCCTCTGCCATGATGCATGGTGGTTGCATTGACAGGTGTTGAGCAATGGCCGGTACAAGAGCGCGTGGCACCGCATCCTGGCGACGCGCGACAGCAACCGCCGCTCCATCGCCTCCTTCTACAACCCGGCGCGCCTGGCCACCATCGCTCCGGCGATCCCCGCCGCTGCCGGTGGCGATGACTATCCGAGCTTCGTGTTCGGTGACTACATGGAGGTGTACATTAAGCAGAAGTTCCAGGCCAAGGAACCAAGGTTCGTGGCCATGGCGACGACGACGACCAAGTGACTTGCAGCGCGTACGTGCAGCGACATGATCTCAGCTTGCGAGGCTTAATAAGTATTAATATAGTCAAATTAATCGTGCGATTAAGGTACGGGCTTGTATGATAAGTAGGTTGTTAAGTGTGGTTTAATGTGTGTGTAGAATGGACGTGTCAAACAAATGTGTGTGTGTGTGTGTGTTCGTGTGGATGCCCTGCAGCGAGCAGTCACAAGAATATATATCTAATTGTGACAGATAAGCTTGGCTGCGGTGAGCGGTGGATCTGTGGTCAACGGTTGCCATAGTGATTTGTAGCTTAAAATGGCATCTGCCAGATTACTTCTTCACTTTTTTTTTTTGCACTTTTCTCTTCATCAATTTGGGTCATCAAATTGTTCATGTGGTCAAGTGGTTTGTAATTGTACATTACACTGAGAAACTATATATATACTGGCTTTACTTAGGGCCAGTTTTAGCTTAAATAAAAGTATTCTAATCCTAAAAAGAGAAGTTCTAGATATATGTGATGTGATCGGCTAAATGTAACATTTAAATGTTATATAGCTTAAAAGAACGGTAAAGCTAAATAGCGCTGAGGTGTCTTAGACATTATATTCCTACACTCGATCGATTTTAGCCTATTGTAGAACGCCATGCTGTGCTGGTGGCGCATGCTGCATGCTGATTTCATTTTCAACATCTCCTCTGCACTGCATGGAAATCTGTCTTTCCCACACCTAAAATTGTAATTATTATAAATTTATATTGGATTTGCACTGTAGATATTTTTTTTTTTGCGCAAGCACACTGTAGTTATATTAAAGTTACAGTGATTATTTTGGCGTAACTTCTAGATAGAATTGGTGTAACTATAGAACTATTTTAAATTTTTTGTTTTGTTCATTTGTTTTTTTAATTTGTATGTATGACTAATTTTGAATGCATATATATGGAGATCTTTTCATCTGCAATTCATAGAAAATATCTGCTTAATTTGATAATCTTATTTTTGTTAATTTGATTTTGATCCTACGGTAAAAACAATCAAGTGTTTCTTGGATTATAAACACCCGAATTTGTTTTATGTTCACAATCGAGTATTTAGGTGGCATTGCAGCACTCGGGTGGGGAAGGAGATAAGAGAGAGGGGGAGATTGGTGTCAGATCTGAGGGGCAAAAAAATTCGTGTTGGTAGGCTCCAAAACACTCAGGTGCTGTGTAGATAGATAAAAGAAACAATTGTTTTCACTACTATAACAATTCAAACATACTAGTCCATCAACCCGTACACTCGCACGGGTCAGAATCTTAGGAGTAAATGTTTGTATCAATATTTACTCTTAAGTATCATGATGACATATGTAATCATTAGTTTTAAGCCTACACCATGTCACTTAAGATTAGTGATAGAGTTCGATGTGAGGTTTACGATGGGGAAGACGTTGGCAACTATGGTATATACTAACCTTCTCCTTTTCTCAAAATGATTGATTTTTTATTAACAAACATTTTTTATGTAGTAATGGTTATATTATCAATATAGATATGTCAAACATTTTAGATTATATATATATATAATATATCTTAAGTATGTGTGTGTGTGTGATCTGCATGTTGGCATAATATGTATGTTTAATTTAATCAATTTTTATTGTATTAATATTTATAAAATGAGCAATGGAGAAACATATTTGTGTTTTATGGTTTTTTTTTGATAAGCTATTAAATAACAGTAAGATATAGATAATTTAGATACACATCTAAATATGTTAGTTTATATTATCTTTCATAATGGTATATTATAACATCATCTTCTAGAACGTAGAGTGCTTAAAATTAAATTACAAATATTTATATATTATAATATTTTAGTCAAAATGTGTACACTTATCTTGAATAAAAATTTCCAAAATTTATTATCTTGGAGTACTAATATAACTTAATTACTATGTCATTTACTAAGGGAATAATTTTTTCACCCATGATAAGTTGTTAAATAAATAGTTATTCTAATGTACACACGTTTAGTTGGTCTATATGGTGGGACATAACATTATGCTTATTTCTAACTTAACCGTTATAGAAGTATATAATTTAGAAATATATATAGCTACTTTGTAAATATTTTTTTTGTGATAGCTTATATTAATAGTTATTATACATTGCATGGGGTCTTTATTTTAGCTTTATTATATGTACTAGTCCATCAACCCGTGCTCTAGCACGGGCTAGAATTTTAAAAGATGTACTATTAATATATTTTATTTGATTATAAAAATTACTTGTATTAAATTGTATGTTTTGCTTTATTTATTTTCTATAAAATTAACATAATAGATACTTTGTAGTCTAATCTAATGATCATAAGCTTACTAATTGCTTTTTTTGCAAGGGACTGACTTGTATATTTTTCGTGCATATTCATAATTTTACTTTACATGGCACCTTGTATATTTTAATATGCAATTAGTTTGTTTCCTTGCCATTAAGTATGGTGACCCTTATTGCATCAAATATATTAAGTCATGAATCTGATTTTTAACTTCATTTTATCGACTGCTATATATTTTTTTCCTCAAGTTAAAACTCTTACTAACTCTCATTTTGGATTGTTTTAAAATAAGCATTTTAGGTCGTATTGTACATCCCTAAGTACTAAAATAGCATATGCAATCATTTGAAACATGCACCATGTCACCTAACATAAGTGACAGAGCTTGGAATGAGATTTCTGATGGGCGTAGCAGTGCTAACCTCGAGAGTCGAGAGAATTTTAAATCTTATTAAGCCTTATAATGATTAAATTACTCTAGAGTAGTGTTAAAGTGCCAAAAAAATATAGCCATCACTAGCCTCCCACAATTCTTAAGATGATTGAATTTTCCTATTAAGGAATTATGTATGCAATTATGGTTATACTATTAATATGGATGTGTCAAACATTTACTTAAAATATATAAATATGGATAACATAACAACCTATATAAATTATGTAATGGTTACTAATATGGTTTTAGAAAAATTATTAGCACCATTAGTATATGAGTTGTTAAGGAAATATGTTGTTGACGAAACATAACATATATATTTATCACTCATGCATGCTGACACAATATGTATGCTTACATTAATTAAATCTTAATATATTAATATTGATAGAAGTGGGCAATGTACAAACATCCACATGCTTTATGGTTATTTAAATAATTTTTCATAGAAGATATTGATTATCTTTTAGATGAAGATTGAGAGTGATGTAGACTAGGCTCGATCTTCCGAAAGGTATGATAGCGTCGATTGGTGGAGAATCGACGTTCACGATCTATGCTTCGAACCAAGACTGATTGGGACCCCCACAACCGTTACACCACTGCTCCGTTGGTTATCAACCACGCGAACGCGATTGACCTCGCCGAGAAGGCTTTTCTGCAAGCGAATCGAGAACACAAGCAAGAACGAGATAAACGCAATCTGAAATTGCAAATAAATGAGGCTTATGATAATAAGAAGGAGTTCAAGTCTTTATTCGAAAGGACTAATCGCCACAGGCGAACAAGATCAAGAACTGGGGCCCTAGATCACAGCAAGCGGGCTTGGCGGCGACAGTTGCAGCAAAACGACGTCTGTTTCACGAGGAAATCAAGAACTAAACAAAACTCAAACCCTAAGGAGAGCGACAGCTGATAAATATAGAGTCTTGGGCGTCACCCCCTTGGACGCGCCCCCGAATGGGCCCAAACACGATACACGGTCCAACGGACCAAATTACGGTGTCGTAGCACCCTGGTAGATTCTGGGCGCTAACTTGTGACCATGATTTCCGTTGATTCTGAATTGCTTTTGATGTGAGACCACTTGGATTGTCTTACTTATCAAATTAGCTTTCCATCCATAAGTGTATCGTCGAAAACGGAGTCCGGATGCATCCTGGGTGACCGGTTTAAGGCAAACTGGTTCTAGAACCCGAGATGGGCTCCAACTTCAGTTGGACTGGGCCTCCACCATGGAAAAGATGAATTAGACGCCCATGCTGGACCTCCTCCTCTCCTTGACTTGTATGCGACGAAGTAGTGATGTCCTCATCAGAGAGCATATGTAATTTTCTTAGTAATGAGATGAGAATTAGGTTACATAAATTATTTATTGCAATAGGAGTACGTGGGTAATATGATGCAAATTTAGGTCTAGTTTAGATATGTTTCTTAATGGCATATGTGGGTATTTTAAATGTAGAGTCATGAGTTATTTTTTGTTGTTTTATGTAATAGCAAAGGTGGGTAATTATTTAGAAAAAAGAATAGATCAAATAGTTATTATTATCAATGGTGATTAGGTTATACCAAATTGATGGTTAAATGTTTTAGATTTTTGTGAGAAATCTCTAGGATCTATCTTTTATTTTTCCTATTGTGTCTCGTGAGGATTAAAGTGGAGGCTCCGTTAAGGACCTCCAGTTAGCATTTCTAGTATTTATCGTTTTTGCAGCATGACATGCATTTAGTTTAAACCTAACCATAAGATATATGAACTCTTATTGCTTCCATTTCACGAATTATAGTTTAGCTTTCTACTTTTAACCAAGTTGTACAATTTTTCCACATGTAAGTAGAAACTCTAGTGTTTTTAATTTTTTATTCAAAATTTATTTTTCGTAAAAAGAGTTATGTCTTACTAGTATTGTTTTCCCCATGTTAATTAAAGTTGAAACTTTGATTGGACCCTAGCACCGAACTTGTTGAATTGTTATATCAGAGAATTATTTGTGTAGTATTATTTTGTACATCATAGAGTTGTAAAAATGAAATTGCCAAAACTGATATGACATAATAATGTTTTAATTAAAATATGTAAAGTTATTTAAAAACAACTTATGAAATTCATGATTAGGGAGTATTAATATAATTCAAAGGGAATAGTCGGTGTTATGTTATTGATATATGGTTTGTTAATTAAACATTTTCCATGCTTATAAGCTATTAAAATAAATATTCATCCTAATATATACATGTCTACTTAGTATACAT